CGAGCTCGGTACCCGGGGATCCCACTGGAAAACAATTCCATTCCTCTTTGCATTGCTTTCTATTTTTATTTGACCATTTGACCCCCTATTCTCCATCTGCAAACTTGAGATCTTCCCCCTTCTAGGCCAAGAAAAGAGCACAAAACATGGCGAATAACACGTTAAAATTTCCATATCTCGAGTCGTTTTTCCTCTGTGATGACATCTTTTTTGATGATGTTTTGAGTCCCTTTCCCTCTCATGTGTTCCTTCCTAATCCTAGACAGACTCACCTATAGGACCACCATTCCACATGACAAAGAATGTGTCAAATTGAATCTGTTGAGTAAGAAGAGAAAATGGAATTAGGCCACGCCCATTTTTAAGACATTAGTTGAAATGGGGGAAGAAGGGAAGTGTACTTGCTTTGTTTGCTTCGAATGCAGTTGAAAAAAACAGAGATCCGATTTATTTAGGTAGGGAAGGTTGTTTAGGAAATGACAAATTGAGTTGAGAGTCTACGCCCTTTTTGTTTTACTGGTGCGGAATTCACTTGATAAAATCAATGAAAGTTCTGAAGGTTTTTTGATAAAGTTTTGATATTTTTGAATCTATTCACGATCAGTTCATTTCCAACCTTCAATAGAAAACTGTTTCCATTTTCTAACAACTCTCGAGAATAATTAAATGAAATTGATTTCATCTGTGCACACTTTGAAAGATTCAATATTACATTAGAAGTGTTTCTTATGAGAAATGAATTCTAAGGACTTTTTGAGTTTGTTTCCAAACTTCAATTAAAAAAACTGTTTTCAGTTTCTGAGATCTTTCGAGAAAATTTCAAAAAAATTAGTTCATCTGGCCATGTCCCAATACACAAATCCATGATTTCATGCAAATTCGAATATTTGTCCGAATAAATTCAAAACTTTTGGTTCTACACAATCCAATGAGGTCACTTTTGAATATTTTATTCAGACTCTTTTCATTTTCTTCTCTCTTCTAATTAATTCACTTCCCTTTTCTAAGACTGGCGTCAGTCAGTAGTTCCCGAAAGTTTTCAGTACTTTGTATATATCCAATTTCTCACACCTACACACTCATTTATGTTTATATCTTCTTTTTCGTCTTAAAAATGGAAAGAAAAACACAAATATCAAGTTTCACATAAGTGAAGATTGTCCTTTTTATTTTGGGAAGTGTCACATAATCTTTTGTAGTTTTATTTGTTGTTGAATGGATGAATGTAGAAGTATGTTTTTCCGGTCTGACGTGGAGAGAGAGAGAGTATTTATGAGTACTTCACCTGGAGTTTTTCTGAGAACAGGGATCAGAAATCTAGAATTCAAGGAATTGTCCAGTTTCAAAATTTTAATATTGAAAACATTGGCCCTGATCAGGCTCAAACTTTTTGGAGAGCTCGAACACAAAAAAAGATAAAATATTTCTGGCCTGGGCTGTGAGCTTTAAAAATCGGCGGGATATATTCTCATCCTTTCCCTCGATCAACTCTAACCTTTCAGAAGTTTTCTTTCCCAGTACATCATTAAAGTTTAGTCATGGGAAAGAAACCCGAAATGAAAGAATCGAAAGACGTAAAACTTTATTGAGAAGAGGTCCTCTATCCGGAAGAAAATAGAAATCTACTCTCCATTTTTCCTGACCTTCCTCTCTTCTGGATACTCTAATCATGAGTTGACAGGTGATAACTCATGAAGAACCACTTGATGCTTGAGTTTCAACTTCAAACATTTCAACTTTTAGTTCGTGATCATTGAAAAAGAAGTACTTATTCACAAGTATCCTGGATGTTCTTCAAATTAGTCATTCTCTTTTTATTCTTTGTGTCTGAATTCAATCAATTATCCTTCGATGCTCAAAACTGTGACGTACTATGATGACAGTAAAACTCAAGTTTTCAAATCTGTGTTTTGAGTGTCAGTTCGGTTCTTTTGTGGAGTATTCCTATACTTCTAGAATAAAAGGGATCATAAACAAAGAATATATTTGTGCAAAAACACTCGAGAAACCTTTTTTATTGAGTCAAGTACCTGATCATTTTTTTCTTGTCTAGTTCCTCGTCCGAAATCCAACTTCTTGACGAATATTTTTTATTTTATCTGCTTTTTTTTGTTTTGCAAAACGTTTCTCAGAAGGTTGCTTCTCACTCTAAAACATACACCAGAAATCCATGTGTCTCGTCGAAAGAACAAATGAGTATTTTCAATGGAATTATTCAACCAAAAAGAAAAGATTGAGAATAACTCTATGATGAATCGAATCCCAAATGGAATCATCTTTGATTTCTTCTATTCGGATTTCAAAAAAAGATGATTCTCACCGAATGCAGTTATTCCTTTCGTGAATGGAATGTTCCATAGGTTCCGTAGGTTCCGATAGAGTTTGACGTCAGAGGAACGAAAAAAGTTTAGTTAGATCTTTTTAGGAGTGCTTGCTCAAGGGAACACAGTTTCATAAAGTTCATAAAGTTGAAGACATTCTCTAATTTCATTACATCTTTTTATTCTCATCAGAAGTCTTTGAGAAGAAGCTGATACAGAGCGGAAGTTTTCCCTAAAATCTTGACTTCTGCAAATTGAATTTCCTCATATTTTGCCATCATTAAAGATGTCTGGTAAGGAAACCGGATGATACTTTTTGCAAAATATTTCTTTCGAGAATTTCAAGCAAATCTAAATAAAAAAAAATGGCTCCAATTTTCAAAGTCTTTTAATTTTTTGCTAGAGATGGATTTATATATATAAATTGATCATCTCTTGTTGTATGAAGAACAAGAAATTGGATACTCGCTTCGCAAAACTTTTCAGTGCGATTCGTGAAGAATGTGCCTATCCAATTAAGTCAAACCTTTCATTCATTCAATTTCTTATGAGGCTGTAACAGTAAGATTTGTGGTTTTTTTCTGAGCAATTTTTTTTTATTGCTCAAAGGTAGAACATGAAAAAAATAATTTTTCTGAAATTACAAAAGCGGATACCTCTGGTGGGTTCGAACTCAGGGCCAGACTCTCGCATCACCGAACGCGCTACCGACTGCGCTATGCGGCCGGAAAGGCGCGACGACAAGGTTTGCCTACAAGTGTCGGGGGAGAAAAAAAGTCCCCGAAAAGTCCCCGTAGACTTTCATGTTCCACCACCTTTAACCTCAGACAGTAACTATCAATTCAGCAAGAGCTATGATAGTTCTCTGAAGCAGTAGAAAAACGAAAAAAGGATCTTAGAACTTTCACCTTTCTCAATACCTATTTCTTCTTCTAACTTTTTCTTTTTGCTTTTTTTTCAAATTCTTGTTCTTTTCTTTTCATATTCATACATTATTTCAACCACTCTTTTTTTCCCTTCATCCACCGTTTTGTTCATTCCTTTGTGTAGTCTCCCGGTTGCTTCTTAATTGCCTTTCCTTCTTCTTCTTCTTTACTCTCGTGACTTCATTCTTCCAGCCGTCGTCTGCTCATTTTCAGAGCAACCATTTTTCAGCAGCCTCTCTTCGTTTTGACGTAACTTTTTTCAGAATATCCCTAAGAATAGAGGCGAGAGAAAACAACTTTTATTCCCTTTTCTTCGCATTATTTCTTTATTCTTCTTTCGATTAGTCACACATTTACAAGAATTCTATTCCCGATTTACACTTTTTTTTTGATTATCGAATAGAAACGGTATTCTAGATCACCATACTGTTAAGAAGTGCAGAAGAGTTGTGCAGGGCAGAATCAAAAAATGGGTGAGCATGGGTTGAAATAAAACCGAATCTTTGAAATGAACTTAAGTCACCGAAATGATCAAAACATTAAAAAAAGGCTGTGATTTATAGAAAAGATAAAACTGTGTTATATTTTCAAACTATCGTTATTTCAGATAACGAAACATCGGCAATCCTGAATGACATATTCAACGGATATGATAAAAGAGTTCTTCCATTTGTGCAAGGACCCGTGCTTGTCAACATGACGATTGTTTTGGGAATTTTAATTGAGTTGGTAAGTTTTGAGCATTCACTGAAAAGACTTGTGAAGTTCGGTTCGGAACATTGGACTTCATCAGAAACAGAAATCACAAACGCTGCTGTTTCAAAACATGATTCTGAAACTGTGAATGTGAAAACAGTATAGAAGAAATATATTATTTGATCTCAAAACTTTTAACACTTGCAGAAAGAAAACCAACAACTTGCTGCCTATGTGATTTCCCATACCCAACGATGGTACGATAGCCGATTGGTTTGGGATCCCAGTAAATATAGAGGACAACGAGAAGTCATCGTTCCACAAAATATGGTTTGGATACCAAAATTATTTGTCTACAACAGGTGAATTAGACCTTTCGAGATTCCGAAAAGGCGACTATATGGCAAATGAAGCCATCATAGAGTCAAGAAAGTTTTCGAGTAAGATAATGAACAAGGTTGCTGATTGTTTTGAGCTCCCATCATTCTGATAATTCAACTCATCGGAACAGATAGCCTTTCCAAAATCTAATTATTTTCAGTCTGGAATCGAAAGACATGTTGACTGAAAATCGAGCAGACGTCCGGCTTTATAACAATGGGAGAATAAAAGTGAGATCCATAAAAAATCTTGATTTTCATCCACGTTTTCAGATCAACATCCCTCAATACGTCCAAGCAATCTGCCGTATCCAGACGCAAGCATTCCCATTTGATTGTCAGTTCTGTGCCGTTGCATTAGCATCTCCCCTTCTGAATGTGGAAGAGATGATTGTGAATGCAACACAACCACCGAGAGACTCTTATTTCACAGTAAGACAAATTGAACTGACTGAAAAATGAACAACTGATTTCCAGGGGAATGCTGAATGGTTTCTGTTTAATGTCACAGTTCGACATATGACTTTTGAAGAGGAAGGAGAATCCAGAGTTGAGGTAATGCCCTTATGAATCCTAGATCATTATTTTTAAAAAACGTAAAGGAAAAGAACACTTTGAAACTGAAAAATAATGAATTTAACAATAGATTGATGTCATATCAGAACTTAATGAGAAAGCATCATGAAAGAGAACAGTCTGAAACTGAGAACAATTGTTTCACAAAATCTACTTTTTCCAGATCCATTACATTTTCCACCTTCAACGTCGTCCAATTTACTATATCACTGTGATTGTTGCCCCGACTTTCTTGATATCCGCCCTATCAATTCTGGGTATTTTCAGTCCAGGATCCAATGATGGTCCAAGAAATGAAAAGGTATCAAATTTGGAAACTTCTTCAGGAAATAGTTAGTCTACAGAAACTTTGAATGAAAACTTTGATTTACTAATAATTTCGATTTATGCAACCAAACGAAAACTGCATCCGCGTCCCAAAAAATTCTGAATCGTCAACTTCTTCTAACTTCTCTTGTCCACTCTTTCTCCTATACTCTCTCGCTTCCTCAACAGTCCTTCGATTAAAAATTGAAAAAAACCGAAATTTTGAGTTTTCTGTTGTGTCTTCCCTACCCTGTGGATTGCTGTGAAACAGATCTGATTTTAGATTTTTAATTAGAATTTTTAATTAAGAGTTGTTTTTGAAAATGTGAAAGGTGAACCAGAAAAAGTATCTTGGAGACCTCAAATCATTCATCATTTTTTATAGAATCAAAGTAACGAAAATGTGAGTTTGACCTAATTTTTTTTGTTTCAATTCCGTTTTTATCGAAAACTTTTCATCTAAAAATTCAGTTATTCCCCCCCCGCTAGGCTAATTTCAATGTTTCCATTTTCTGCATGAATACTGTTCTTTTTGTGCATGATTACTGTATGCGCCTTTAGATTTTTTATTGTTACCCTGCCATCACATTCTTTCATGCTTCTTTATATTAACATCACCCGCTTTTTTTATTTTTGAAAACTTTTTTTCAATTCATACTACATTTTTACTTCTTCATAAACCGCCTACTAGAAGCTCGTGAATTTATAGAGCCTAGATTTTCCACTCAAGACCCAAAGTTGAGAATTGAGACATTCAAAAATTGATATGTGATTTCAGGTGTCTCTTGGATTAGGAAGTCTTCTTGCAATGACTGTTCTTCTTGGAATTGTGGCTGGAGCAATGCCAAAATCAAATGATATTCCATTATTGGGATATTATATTCTGGTGGTCATTGTTCTTTGTGCAGTTGCTGTTGGTATTTCGATGGCATTCTTAGCAGTCAGCAGACATTATATTCATAAAGGTTCGTTCAAAAAAATTACTGATGAAAAATATCACTGTATCACCTATAAGAGAAAACGAGGCACTATTCTAGAATACCAATGCGCGGCATTTTTCTGATCGGTGTACTTTTCACTTTGCAGAGCAAATGCCATCAAAGCGACTACTCCGTTTCATGTTCCTGAATGAATATCGAAAACGAAGATCTACCGTTTTCCGTGGTGTTCATAACTATCGGTTCAGTCAGGAGTGTGATGAGTGAGTCTATTTTTTCTCTCATTTCATAATTCAATCCTCAAAATTCTAGCTTGATGTACTCAAAAGTTCCGGAAATTCAATCGATATGTATGATGATGGAGGAGATTGCTGACTCTCATAGAAGTATGAGAAGGAAAGCAGATATGAAGGCAAATAAGAAATTGGTGGGTTTCTTGTACTAATCTCATTAGTTCATGAACTCTTTATATTTTCAGATCGAAAGAGAATGGGCTCGAGTGTTCGCTCGATTCGACTACTTCTTTTTGGTCGTTTTCGAAACTTTGAATCTCTCTGCACTTGCCGTTTTTCTTCGAGTCGCATGGCTACCAACTCCTGAATTGAGAGATCAAATTTTATAGATTTAGAAAACATTATCGAGTTAAAATTCACTACTGGTATACAATTTTGTATTTATTTATTGGTAACTTTGATTCTTGTAAGATTACTTCCTGTCTGACCTATTCCGAGTGACGTTTTTATGTAAATAAATCAGTTTCAGAACATTTTCAATTTTCAATGAATTCCCCAAGAGCGATTACTCATTATCATTACGGAAATTGATCACTTCGAAAAGCTGAAAACTCGAAAACATCTAATCGCATTTCCGTGTCTCGTTCTCTCTAATTGCTCAAATGATGTTTTCTCTTTTTCTTTAACAAGTACTTGCCAACTTGCAATTACGTTGTCTCCAATCGAAACCAACTCTGTTTTTCCGTTTTCAAATTCCATTTTTTTTTCTCTCACTTTGAATATTGTCACATGGCTTCTGAAACATTGAGAGAATACTACAATACAAACTACACAAGATGTCAATTGAGATCAAGTTTTTTATCTTCTTGGGAGGGATTGGTTTATTCCAGTCATTGCGTTCAATTTCTCGCACTTCCGGTTCAAGTTTTAACTGCATATCTGATTTTGAGAAAGACTCCAGAGTCTATGAAAACTATGAAAACTCCATTAATTGTTTCTCATTTATGGTACGTTCTTGGTTTGATTATTTACAACTTTCTAACTTTTATTTTCAGTTGTTCTCTTCTGGATATGGTCATATGCAGTCTTGTGACCCCATTCCTATATCTTCCATCAATTGCTTTCTCTGGTTGCGGTGTTTTATCATGGTTTGGAGTTCCTCAATCAGTTCAACTATTTCTATTCCTCATCTCTCTGTTCAGTTAGTTCAATTCATAACACTCCGAACCCTAGCTTCAACTTTCAGCTGTCTACATATCTCTTCTATTTCTTTTTGAGAGTCGAAACCGTACTATTCAAGATAATCCATTTAAAATAAGAGGGTTGAAAGCTCAAACTATTTATTACACTCTAAACTACGCGTGTTGTATGCTGAGTATGAGTGGATTCATTAGTACTCCATCCAATCAAGAGGCTGCTAAACTAGAAATCCTGGAAACAAATCCATGTCCAGCTCTGGAGTTCTTCTCATCCCCGGTATTCGTTTGGATGTCAGATGAATACTGGATTGATCTCACATTCTTTGTGATTGCTCCTATCCAGTTGGCAAATTGTATGGGGAATGTTTTATTCCAGACTGGTTGTTCCATTTATTATTTGTATATTTCTAAAACTGCAGTGATTTCTGTCTACACTCGACAAATGCAACAACGATTTTTCGTTGGTTCAGTT